GCTTTCCCAGGAATCAATGCTTGCAGGCAATAATGGTATATACTCGAGTATAAGCTGACCCGAATATCAGCTGAGGCACCTGATTTTACCACAACAAATGCATTAAAAATGTGCTGAAAAACCTGGCTTGTACACGAGTATATACAGTAAATGTCTTTAGCGTTTACCTTGTGGTCGTGTGACTGTCTGTGTTACTATCTCTCTTCTATCCGACTACGTGCTCTTACTTGCCTTTGTCCTCCCAGTGCCTGCTCAGTACAATGGTCAACACATAACAGGCACTCGACAAATATTTATTGAACAAACTGATGCTAATCATGCATGCACGCTTTTGTTTGCTTCTGATGGAAAAGAAAAATCCAATTATTTTCAAATACAAGTAGATTAGGAAACACGGAGGCATCAGCCCATCCTATTTCTCGGTCCTTTCATGTAATCCTTAAGACAGGTGCTATTTACCTGTCCCAGCTAAACTGGGCCCTTCTCTCAGCCAGAATGCAGAATTCCATGTAGCAAGTGGTATACTTTTCTCAATGGGATACTTCTGAGAAGAGGACCTAGTAGGCTCCCACAGGGACACATTTTTACAAAAACAAACTCCAAGGGGGAGGGGCAGGGGGAGGGGAGGGAGAACTTTGCCAATTGTTATCCACCAGGCAACGCTTTTTGTATGTGAAAAATTGAAATGTAAAAAACAAGCCTATGGGAGGGAATCATGGGGAGGAGGAAAAGTGAATGTGAGTTAGAGTGTGTGTGTGTGTGTGTGTGTGTGTGTGTGTGTACATGTACAGACCTGTAATTGTTGTGATGGACATTTAAATAAAACTTATGGAGCTATTGTGTTTTAAGATCCTAAGGAGGTTGTTTTCAAATTTATGGTGAAATTTTTCCCAGTGGACCCCGGACATCTGCGTGAAGAGCTAACAAGGTAATGTGCTTAACCTGTGTGTCTGCTGCACATTGTTACCGAAGGGTGGTCATTGTTCTCCATTCAACTGGGAAGGGCTTAGAAGGTTCTTTGGAAGTTCTGGCTTTTCGTCACTTTCTGGGCAATGCGGAGGAGCTGCAGAGAAGAAGGGCCTGGCTAGTCCCCCACGTACTAATCTCCCCCAGAGTGGGGATGGCGGGAAGGGGAGGAGTGGTCTCTAAAAGTGGTAGCCGAGGTGCCTGCTTGGGGTTATCCCATCGATTGTGATAAGGGATCATCTGGTCGAGCTGGGTGCTCAAGTGACTGGGCTAAGATCACAGGAAGCTGGCAGTTACTCTCCCTGGACCGTACTCCCAGCTGTCTGTCTTCACCCTGTTTTGTACAGGGGGCTTATTTTCTGAGGGGGTCTTTCCAGAAGCCCTTTTGCACCAACCTCCATGTACTTTCTCTCTCTCCATTTGTGAGTTGTATGCAACTTTCCCAGCGAACGTGATATCTGTATTAGTTTACATTGCTAACCCATTTCAGTCGGATTTTTGAATTGTGAACAATTTTGATGGAGATAAACTTTCTCCAAAAAAACCCCTCAGAAAAAAAAGGAATTAGAAAATCAATGTGATGATAAATGATTCATCAGCTGTTCAGAGCAAGGATTTGGTATTTCTAGCAGGCAGCTGCCTTCTTCACAGCAAGGGACGTGTCAAATGACATGAAGTTTCCTTTCTTGCTTGCTAGGAGCAAAAGGAAATTCACTTTCCCTTTGGCAGTTAAGTCAGATAGTTCTCATGTGCATCTATATTTGCAAATGGGTAGAAGTTAGGCTTCCTTTCTCTTTTCCTCCCTCTAATCCATTTAAGAACATGTCGCTCTAGTTGGTTTTACAGGGACGCCTTGTGTATTGCTAATACATGGTTTTCTGAGAGTGGTGCGCAAACGTAATTTTTCTAATTGAATCATTTCTAATGCATTAAGGGAACTCACAAGTGGAAGGATTATAATGATGAATGCTTTTGTAAATTGAATAATCACCTACTAATTTACCTGTTTTCCCTAATCTGGACTTTCATTGATCACCTGCAATTAATTTTGATTCACCACATTGCCTTCAAGGCTGAATCAGTAAAAATAAATATATTAAAAAACTATCCAGATGGAATTATATTAGAAAAACCATATCTTACATAAGAGACGGTGAATAGTAGACACTCAACTGATGTTTCCATGTGTAAATGAACTTACTGGAGTCCGCTTGGGGCCATGGCAGAAGGCAGTCAGCGGCCATCTTCTTTCCACACATCTTCTCAGTAGTTGAGTCACCTTCCATAAGGGTTTCCAAATGTGATGCCAAAAGTCCTAAATACCCAAGCCAACCCACTGCCATCGAATTTATTCTGACTCAGAGAGACTGGATAGGCCAGACTAGAATGCTCCCATAGGGGTTGCCTTGGCCCCCACCGGGTTTCCAGTGTCATCTGCACAGAAGCAGAATTTTCGGCGAAGGAGCAGTTGGTGGATTCACAACACTGGCCTTTAGGTCAGTAGGCAATCGCTTTAACCACTTTACCACTAGGGTTCACGTGCCTGGATAGCAATATTCATTGTCTTGGTCCCTAAGGAGCCTTTGGTGAAAAACGGACTTAGTTCTACCCAAACAAAAAAAAAAAAACACACCTAAACTCACTGCCATTGAGTCAATGCTGACTCATAGTGACCCCCGCTGTGGGTTTCCAAAACTTGAACTCTTTACGGCAGTACAAAGCCCAGTGTTCCTTCCACAGAGTTGCTGATGGTTTCGAACTGCTGATCACAGATTGCAGCCCAACAGCATAACCACTACACCCCCAGGGTTACCAAAGAAACATTGCTTGGATGCCTACTCTGTTTGTTCTTGTTTTCTCAAAAATCATTGTAGTGACAGGTTATTCACCTTCACACAATGCAATGATATAAAGATAGTACAGATCATTTAGCATTCACTGCCATGCTGGGCTCTGGTCAGAGTCAGAGGGTGGTCCAGGCAAAAGGATAGAACCAGGGCCTCAAGTTCTTGATTTCAGAAATGGTCTTTAGGAGAGGGGCAGCCTTGCATTCGATGGCAAATCTGAATTCCATGAATAATTTCACTCTCTTGAGTGACATGATCGAATCCAAATCACCTAACCTCTGTCTTTCCATAGTTATCAAATGGGGTGCTCATTCTGTCCTGCCAACCTTGCCAGTTGGTATGTCAATGAGTATTGGGTGACATTTAGTAAACAGTGCAGTGGCAGGCCTCGGAGGAAGATTCCTTCTTGCTGAATCTCCTGGGCTTTTTAGTTGGATCTGGTGATTTCTAATGTTGTCAGGGCTGCCAAAGTTCTGGATGAGTTGAGCTGAGGTCTGGGGAGGCAGTGTGGGCGGGGGGGACTTTGGGTAAGGTGACCAGACATCCCGCTTTTGGCGGGACAGTTCCGATTTTTAACAATTTTTCCCGCGCCCTGCGGCGTTTTTTAAAAGTCCCGATTTTTGGAAAGAATGCACGACAAGCTAGGGTATACGATTTTCGGCTGCCATGTGGCTATTTCGCCAGGATATGAGGTTTATCAACAGTGTCCCACTTTACCAAAGTTAAAATCTGGTCACCTTAGGCTTGGGGCTGAAGCACAGCCCCAAAATTGGTGAACATGTGGGAAGCCATCTACCTGACTGGAGCAGCCCTTTCTTTCTTTAATCCGCTTGGATGTGGGAGGAGGGAAAGGCTTTTCTGGCCCCTGTTTCTTTTCTCAGAGATTTTCCCACCTGCTTTCCAGGTATCTCTTTACTCTTCAAATCAAGAAGGATTTGGCCCTCGGAAGGCTTCCCTGCAGTGACAAGTGCGCAGCGTTGATGGCGTCTCACATCTTACAATGTAAGTGCTCAGTGTCTGTTTGGGGGCTCTCAGCGCGTAGAGAACCAAGGAAAGAGCTGAGCATCCATGAAAGGTCCATGCCGGGACTTACAGGGCAGAAAAAGCCTGAAAGAGATCTCGAGAAGGCGAATGGTCTGGCGGAAAGAAGCTGCCCATTGCTGCAGTCCCTGAGCCCACCTCTCCCGCCCTGAACCCGTCTCTCCAGCCTTCCGGCTGCTGCAGCCTTGGACGAAATCCTGCCCCCTCTGAGCCCGAGTTGCCTCGCCTCGAAGACAGTGACAGGAACAGCTTCTCATAGAGAGCAGTGTAGATGAAAAGTGTATACAAGCCCCCAACCCATTGCAGAGTGCCCCCTCAGAGTAAACCTCCATTGAACTCCCTCACACCAGGGATGGGAATCGTCTTGCTGCAAACTGAGTGCAGTGGAAAGTGGATCATTGTAGATAGAGGTGGGTTATCGCTGGTTTCTTCTGTGGACTCACTTTTAACTTGTTCTAGTTCTGCTTAGGGTTCTGCTGCCTCTTGGACTGAGGTGTTCCTGTGTTGGATTTTGTTGGCCTGGTTGGGGTGATTTCCTTGATATGACGTGCAGGATAGGGAACTCACTAGAGACAGTAACAGATGATTAGTTCCTCAGCGTTATGGCAAGAGAAGTT